AGCCGAAGAGCCAGCGCTGTCCGAAGACGTTTCCGTGGTCATGTGGCCGGCATGACTAAACACCAAGGCGCACAGAACGCTGTTATCTTCCCACTGAAGTGGTACCTATTTATCTACTTGCAATTTCTTGCTTTCGAACTGCTAGGTTGGCAGGAGCTGGAACTAGAGACGGGAGCTCACTCCGTCATGCGGCACACTCGGGACTCAAACTGCTGAACTACCGACCTTCCACAGCCTGCAGTTCAGCGTCTTAACCACTTGAGCCACTGCAGCTCCAACTAGTGCATACTTGATGCCTATAGAAAAGAGTGCCTCCCCTCCAACAGAGAATGAATTTAAGAAGCACAGACAGAAAAGGCTTGTCCTGGGCAAGAAAGCTTCCCAATTGCCATTATTAGCGGTAATGCTTTTAAATGCTTTGCAGTGCTTGGTTTGTATGAAGTCCTCCTGGAGTTATTGCGTCCGTATGGCTCTGCATCAGGAAAAGGCAAAAAGCTTTTACATGCCCATTTAGTCCAACCCAAAGTAAGGCTGTTCGCAGTAGCATCTCAAAGGCATTATTTATTCCAGCACTTAGGCATCTGTGGAGTACACAACCGGCTATCAACAGTAGCACAAAATACCAAAAGCTTGCTCATACATTAGGTTCAGTTTAGGCCAGTGCATATCAAAAAGGCACCCAACAACTTTTCTACACATAACAACTGAACAGGCTCAGAACCAGTTAAGATATTCCTGTTTTCCATTTGCAGTCTGGACTTGATGTCTTCTCTACTCACATTTCTGCAGGTTGTATTGTTATTGTTATTTCAGATTATGTCAGTATTTGATGCATGGTGGCATATTATTTGATAGTTGGAGGTTTCAACTTGGAGGTTTCAAACAAACCCAAAGGTGGAATAAAAATATAACCAGCTCACCAGGACTGAAAGGTGTTTGAATAATGAACTCGATCATGTACACAGAGGCAGTATCTCTTAAGATAATCATCTCTGCTACGGATATATCGTGTGCACAAGCACTAAGGCCTGGGCCTAGCTAGTCATAAGAAATGAAATGTGAAGGCAAAGACATCGAAGAGCACGAGAACTGCCTATGCTGGATCGGACTGTCAGTCCACAGTCACAAGCAAAGCAAGATGGAGGCAACTCCCCTACCCCCACTTGCTTCCCCTCAGCATATGTTCTTCAGAGGTAAAGGCTCCAAACACGGGACTGCATTTAGCTCTCACGGCTAATGACCTATTTACAGATATATCCATTAATTTATTTAACCCTTTTTAATAAACTAATTAAGCTAGAAGTCATCAATTCCTCTTGAGATAATTATTTTCATACAGGAAGAGGGAAGAGAAACCATCTATTGTCATTCTCAAAACTATTGCCAATCAGTTTAATCAAAAGACCCCACGTTTTAGTTTTTTCTATGCTTCTCATTATTTTAGGCATATATCTCCACTTAGCTGCCTTTTCACTAAACTCGAAGTCCTCTTCACCGTAAGAAACCCCTTGATCTGTTCCTTTTTTGCACCTTCTCCAGCCTTAAAATATGCATTTGAGACATCGCAAAGTATTCAAAATGCGATTAACCCATACATTTCTATGGTGTCATATTACGTGTGATTTCATTTGAGATCCTTTTTCCTGTCTTAGAAAGCAACCCTAAGCAGGTTTACTAAGAATCCTACTCAAGCCTATTCAATGGGGCTTACGCCCAGGTAAGTGTTCTTAGAATGGCCTACAATCAAGATTCCCTATTTTGAATGGTTTCATATTTTGGACTATGCTTATTTGCTTAGACTTTCATAATACAGAAAATAATTGTATTTGTCTTAGCCATTCCAAAGATTAAGGTAAAGGTTTCCCTTGCTCAAAAGCCAGTCAACTCGGACTCTAGGGATGCGGTGCTCATCTCCATTTCCAAGCCGAAGAGCCAGCACTGTCCAAAGACGTTTCCGTGGTCATGTGGCTGGCATGACTAGACACCGAGGTGCATGGAACGCTGTTACCTTCCCACTGAAGTGGTACCTATTATCTACTTGCAATTTCTTGCTTTCGAACTGCTAGGTTGGCAGGAGCTGGGGTCAGAGATGGGAGCTCACTCTGTCATGCAGCACTCGGGTCTTGAACTGCTGAACTACTGACCTTTCAGTCTGCAGTTCAGCGTCTTAACCACTTGCGCCACCACAGCCCCCATTCCAAAGATTAGGCACAAGCTATTTCAACAGAGAGCCAGTTTGGTGTAGTGGTTAGGAACGCAGGCTCTAATTTGGGAGAACTGGGTTTGATTCCACACTCCTCCACATGGAGCTGCTGGTGTGACCTTGGGTCAGTCATAACTTGTCTCAGAGCTGTTCTCTCACAAGCAGTTCTCTCAGAGCTCTCTCAGCCCCACCTACCTCACAGGGTGTCTGTTGTGGGGAGGGGAAGGGAAAGGAGACTGTAAACCACTCTGAGACTCATTTGGGTAGTCAAGGGCGGGGTATAAATCCTATCTCTTCTTCTAGAGTTGTGACAAATGTATCAGACAAATAGAGACATATCTTATTAGCTGATTCATTTTTAAACTATTTTTTATTCTTTGTAGTGATGGATTGACTTGTAAATTTTATTTTTGCATTTTATGGTGAATATCAGTACAAGTATTTATGCCTGTAACTCTGAAGTTCTTTTGGAAATAAATTCTGTATAATATTCATCTTAAATGAGTTTCTCTTTTAGGCAATAAAAGAAAATGCTGACAAATTGTTTTCAGTTACCTGACACCCAAATCCTCCCAGATACAAGCACTTCTCATTTTACCCCAGAAATAAAATGGCATTACAAAAACGTATGGTCTGCCATGTCAATCATATGAAAGCATGTTAGTTCATGACTCAAACTAAAATGATGATATTTCTCCACCCAAGATTGCTAGGCTACCAACAGCCCTTTGAAACAGAACTCGGCTAATTACTTCTGCAATGCCTACGTTCAATAAAACAATCCAACCCTCCTTCCTTGGTATTTACTGCCAGTCAATAAGTCAAAACTATTTTAAAAAGTGACAGATGCACCTCTTTTACCAACTTTTAATAAACAAAGAACCACGTGCCACAAAGGCATTCACCATCAAATCACTGCCAGATTCTGAAACAGTGCCCACTGCATGAAATCCTTAAATTAATTCTAACTTCTTTCCATTGGCCCTCCAGCCCTAACATAATTCAGTACAGTGCTGAATCAGTCATTAGAGACACAGCTATCAGGACAAGCCTTCAGACCAACCAATCATAATCATAATTGGTCAGATTTGGGAGACCATGTGTTCAAGTCCTGACATCAACCCAGGACTTACTCCATGACCTTGGGCAAGCCAGGAATTCTTAAGGCTTAGCTCCCCATGTGTAACATGGGAATAACCATGACATTCCTCCCAGACTGTTGCAAAGATAAACATAGTCACACTGTAAAGCAGTCTGTAAGTTAAAATCATTATATAAATTACAAATAGCCCAGTAACTAACAGTCTATGGTCAATTTTCTATTTTGTACATATCTCTGTGTTTCCACAAGTATCTATTAAGTAGCAGCATACCTAACAGCTCATTACTGATTTAGGAATTATGTATCTGCTTCATTTATAGTCCACCTTAGTCTCGCAGAGGCTCACAGAGGATTACCATCCACCATCAAAAGTAAATTTAATTAGGATGCAGCTAGAATAAGACTGCTCTAGGCCTCCTTTCCCAATATTTATTTGTTACTAGATTACCAGCCTTGGAGCATTTTTAACACCCCAAAACAAAGGAACCTTCCGATGCAAGATTCAGATTCAACTGCAGCTCGAGGCAAGCTTTACGCTATCTAACAAAAAAAATATTCCGCATTCCAAAGTCTGCCGCACCAACAGCAACCAAGACACCTCCAGTGGTTCTCATTAGGCGGTGACACACACAGAGATCCGGTCACACCCACAACAGCAGACCAACACTCCGAGCAAGCCATCGTCATTGCCATCAACATGAATGGAAACAGGGCCTTAAAAAAGGCACAACACAGTAGTAATAAACTGGAACACCAGAGGATTCACTCCCCTTATTCCCTGGTGCTTTCCAGTGTTCCTTCCTCTGCATTAGAGCTAACTTTTTTATTTATAATCACAGCAGCAGGAGAAACACCCTGGAGGGACCACTGGAAGGAGGTGGAGGATAACACCGCAGTGAAAGGAAGAAAAAAGAAATGGGAGAAAAGCAAGGGAGAAGTAAATAGAAGGGAGGAAAACAGCAGATTTTTAAAACGTGGTTTAGCAGGTCTAACCTAGATTTTCTTTCTGACACACACACACTCACAACGGCTGAAGCTTAGAATGGCTTTCTGGTTACAAAAGTAGCCAAGCTGGTGAATGCAACTGATGGTTGTATTATCACAAGGAGAAGGGCTGTGTCCCTTTCTATGGGCCAAGTCTCACAGGTACACACCTTACAGTGCTTCCTTTAACCCTGGGTGTTTTTTGGGGGGTGGGGGAAACTCCCTCGATTAACTCTGCTGTGGCTCATCTTCAGAACAAGATCATAGGAAGATCACTGAAAAGAGTGATGGTAGTACGGCTTTGATCTCCTCCGTCCCTGCCTCTTTCGTCCCATTTCCCACAAGCATGAGGTGCCTTTTCCGAAGGGTGCGCAAAGGAATGTTTCCAGCAAAAGCCGGCGAGCGGAGAAACTTGTCCTGTGAAAAGGCTCTCTCTTTCCTCTCCTCCTCTACCGCGCCTTTCGCGAGAGAAAAGAGGGGGCTTGACTGCAGCAGCAACGCGAACCAACATCGCCACCATCGCGATCACACCAGCAAGATGGGATACACAGCAACAAAGAAACACTCTGCCGTCTCCCCTCCTCCATATGAGACACACGCACTGCAAGGAGACGCAGGAAAGGGACCAGTGGGGGGGGGGCGGTGGGTGGGGGGGAAAGAAGATGGTGAATGGATGTCATTGTGTCCAGCCCAGCAGGGGAGGAAGACTCCTACCAAGCAAGAGCGGAGGCGGCAGCCCTCGGGTGGATACGATCTAGCCTCCGAGTCTGCCGCAGGGCTCCGCAGAAGGGCACGACGACGGATACATAGGCGCACACAAGAGGCAAGACCGGACAAGGCGTCCGCCGGTGCCCGTCGGCTAGCAAGGAATCCTGGGCAATGCCGGGACCGCCGCTGCCATTGTTCGAGCTGGAGGCAGAGGGAGCGACACGCACCCCCCGCCGCAGCTGATCCCTCGTGAGTAAACAGATCCTGCCCTGGCAGAGCGGGGGTGGGGGTGGTGGTGGTAGGAAGCCATTCCCCAGGGGATGACCCTGCTTTTCAGGCTCCCTTAGAAACAGGTCCTGAGAGGTGTTGTTGCTGCAGAAGGGGGAGGGAAAAAAGGAGGACGGAGGGAGGGTATTGCTATGCAATACATCGCAGCCCGGTGCCTTACCCCAGTGTCAAACGCAGGCAGGCTCCTTTCCGCCTTCTCCCCCTTCTGTGCGGCGGCCTGTGGTGGACGCCCCCTTTCCCAAGGGGGTAAAGATTGCTCAGGGAGACACCCCAGTCCCCCTCCTTCTCTCGCGTTCGCGTCTCCTAACTCTGGCTCCCAGGCTGAAGGAATAAGGAGAAGGCGGGGGCAGAGAGGGGGGAGGAGGCGTGGCCTTTTGCCCGGCGCAGGCAGGAGACCGGGAAAGGGGAGGGAGGAATCTGCGCATCGCTCTCGCCAGAGTTTTACGCATGCGCGCCCTCGGAGGAGGAAGGAGGTTGTCTTTCCCTGCAAAGGCTAGATCCTGCGCACGCGTACTGGGAAGAGTTCCTGGGCCCGGGAGGCCTGTGAGTGACCGGTTGAGGCGAGTAGATCGGTCTGCTTAGGTTCGTTTCGTTCCCCTTGGGGAGGATATCGGGCGGGTGCCGTGTGATGTCTCGCTGCTTCTTACGCCGGCGGGGGAAGCGAGTGTGCAGGGGGCTCAGCTCGAGCTGCAGTACGGAGTCTGGGTCGCTTCGGTCCGTCCTGCAGCGTGGTAAAGGGAGCAGATCCCATAGAGTTTGTGGAGCTTAATCTCAAGAGTAACCGCAGTCATGTGCAGAGTTACTCCAGTCTGAAATTGGTGGGTGCAGACTGCAGTAACTCTGCACTGCAGTCATGTGCAGAGTGGTGGGTGCAGACTGCAGTAACTCTGCATAGGATTGCGCTGGGAACAACTGAAGTAATCGGGGTCAGTCTCCCTGAGACCAGCGGGACTTCCTAGTCTGGCTGCAAACCTATGCACACGCACTTGAACTCCATGGGTCTTTCTCGCATCGAAACAGGTGGCCTTTCGTTCGAAATAAATTGCACTGCCAGCTAATATCAGCGCATTTGTTAGGGAGCAAATCCAGCGTCTTTCTTATAGGGATTTATAGGCAGCCCATTCCTGTATTTGAGGCATTGCTGCGCTGGTAGCATAGACTGTATCCTGTTCCCTTCATGCTAAATTGCAGGTTCCAGCTCTGAATGTTCCTTCGCATTAGAAACTTCCCGTGTGTAAAACTAACACAGCAGGGAGAAAGGTGCTCTTCCCTGTCTTTCTTTCTTTGCTGTGCTGGTTTTGTATTTGGAGGGAGCTTTTAGTGTAGGAGAGGATTCTGCATTCTGAAACAGTGTATTTCTATTCCACCTGCTTCAGCCCAGCGAATTCTCCTGCATATCTGAATCCCTAAAGTCTTAATCTCAAGTGAGCAGATGTGTAAGTGAATTGGCCTCAACTTTTATATTAAAAAGTCTGTCACCTTCCGGAATTTGCAGCTTCATGGGACATTGTGTGGATTTCTTTATTTCAGAATGTTGCGGTGACACTTGTAATGATAGGGCTTTCCAAAGCTGGTAACTTTATTTTTTGGGGGGAGAAGGGAGGAAGCTTGGTGTGGGGCAAGCTGTAGAAAACAGCATCTTTATCTCTTCAGCCTGGTTTGCAGTGACATGAGAGGCTGAAAAGATAAGGAGGGGGCATGTAGGTACAACATGGTAGCAGGAAGATAAGCAAAGGGCATAAACCACGAGTAGGTGAACAGAAGGGACTTGGAGAGGGGGGACCTCTTACCAGAGTGCAAATTATGACTGGCCCATCCACTTCCCTCCCTCAGAGGCAAGAATTTATTTATTAAATTAGATTTACAAGTAGGGCTCAGGGTGGCTTACAACAGGTAATATGCAACAAGTAATATACAACTACATGAAAACAGTCCAATAAATAACAGTAGATAAAAACAGTATATATATATACAATGCTTAAGATGGCAGAAAATCCTAGCTCCCTGGCCTCCCTGGGGGGAGGGGTTATGGGAAATGGGGAATAATATGAGCGTGCCAGAAGAAGTCCCTCCGTTTTCCTTTCCCTTTCTGACTGAGCAGCCCTAGTGGTCTATTTTCTTCTTTCCTGAACAACTCTGACTGTCTCAGTATGATATTTTACTGCTGACTCAGCCCAAGAACGTGAGGGAAGGGTTGAGATTGCCCTTTAACTTAAACCACTGAAAATGGCACGTGAGACGTTTTAAAATTCAGAATTAAATATTTTATTCAGTGTAGAGGGGAAAGGTCAGGTGAAATCAGGAGTTGAAATTTCTGAAGTAACTCAATATAAATAACTGAGGTAAAACCAGTACACGCACAGACTGTAGTTCTTATGTCTCAGGCTAATGAGAGTTTCTTAAGCTATTCACAGTTACTTAAATCTTTATGTTGAGAGGCTTTTGTTCCGTGTTTCCCCAAATACTTTGGGACACTTCCTTTGAGTATTCTCTGCCTCTTTTTGTTTCCAGAGGCCTGGTGCACTCTTTTCAGTACCCAAACCCCTTCTCTTGAAACACGAGTACTCGTTTTGAGTTTTTAATTGATTCTTAAGGTCTCCAAAGGACCCAAACTCTTGAAACATGAGTACTCGTTTTGAGTTTTTAATTGATTCTTAAGGTCTCTAAAGGCACTTTTTAACCAGACCAGACCAGGGATCTCTTCACTCTTCAGAGCTAATTCCCTGTTTGACTGGGTAGGGAATTTTCTTCTCTCTCTAGAAGATATGTCTCTTTTCCTTGGCCCAAATGGGAGTCTCCATCTAACTATCCATTCGTCCTTGCCAACTTTCCCCTAATTCTCCTGTCTGTTAAACTGCTCTCAGTCAGGGCTGAATTCTGAAACTGTCAGTACTCAACTCTTCTCAGCTAGGGCTGAAAGCAGACTGAATTCTCCTCAGCATCCAGTTCATAAGTCTTTCTTTGCTAACCAATCGGATCCCTTGGAATAGCCTGTCACTCAAGGCTCTCTGGCTCAGTTAAGAATTAACCCTTCACAGTCCTTTAACCTTGACTTTTTATAAGCTTTTAAAAGAGCCGTCTGTCACACAAGTGTAAGGCTATAAGGAGCAAGGCCATTCTGAAGAAAGTTTGTTAAGAAAAGTTGGGCAATTGGGGTAGCTCCTTCTTATAACTTTACTCTGGAATTTTATTAAGTACTAGCATTATATTAGCACACTGACCTAGATAGCCCAGGCTAGTGTGATCTTGTCAGATCTTGGAAGCTAAGCAGGGTCAGCTCTAGTTACTATTTGGATGGGAGACCACCAAGGAATCCCAGGGTTTCTATACACAGGCAGGCAATGGCAAACCACCTCTGAATGTCTCTGAAAACCTCACAGGGTTGACATAAGTCATACGTGACTTGATTAAAAAAAAAGCATTGAGAGAAAACTGTTGTGATGGGCAGTCTAGACACATAACAATAAGACAGTCCTCACCTTAGAAGAGTTACATTCTAGTCTATCCATGTTTGTACTACAGTAAGGCCCCTTTCAGACAGCCTTTGTAATCCATTTTGGTAGCCGGTTGCTAACACATTTTTTGTGTCATTTCGGACACAACTGTTTTAGCAACTGGCTGCTAATGGATTTTATTTACCTTTTCATACAAAGCCATGGTGAGCAAAACGTGGTTGAGCCGTTTTTGAGGTAAACTGCTTTTTTCCGTTTTCACCTCTTTGTGCTTCTGAATTGCTGTGGTGTGCTGTTTAAAATGTCTGCAGTGCTTTTTTCCTGCCCTTTTTTGCCGCACAACCTTCCTCAAACCCCCCCCCCCCATGTTCTAAGTTGAGTGCTACTGAGATAGTAACTGTTGTTACATGGTGAAACGATCAGTGGTGCCACTGTAGCACTGAAGTGCTATATTGGTCTCTAGCGCTAGAGTGCTCAACTTTGAACATTAAAAAAAAAGTTCAAGGAAGATTGTGTGGCAACAAAGGGCAAGGGAAAAGCACGACACTGTTTGAAAGTGTCAGGTTCAACAGCAAGTAAATCTCCACACACGTTTCCAGGGAAGCATTATGCTTTATTAGACTACAGGTCTGTTACCATGTCTACAGGGTTATTGTTAGGAATGACAATAGGGCGGAAACATCCCTACATATAGCAGGATGAGGTAAATGGCTAAGCAAATGAAATCAGAGCGCGCGCGCGGGAATTCTCCTGGCGGGAGGTTACATAATAAGCGGGAGAGTCTCAGCGCCCCATGAGAGCTGAAATATTTCCTTGCCTTTTTTGCCGCACAACCTTCCTCCAACCCCCCCCCCCCATGTTCTAAGTTGAGTGCTACTGAGATAGTAACTGTTGTTACATGGTGAAATGTTCAGTGGTGCCACTGTAGCACTGAAGTGCTATATTGGTCTCTAGCGTTATAGTGCTCAACTTAGAACATTAAAAAAAAAAGTTCAAGGAAGATTGTGTGGCAACAAAGGGCAAGGGAAAAGCACGACACTGTTTGAAAGTGTCAGGTTCAACAGCAAGTAAATCTCCACACACGTTTCCAGGGAAGCGTTATGCTTTATTAGACTACAGGTCTGTTACCATGTCTACAGGGTTATTGTTAGGAATGACAATAGGGCAGAAACATCCCTACATATAGCAGGATGAGGCAAATGGCTAAGCAAATGAAATCAGAGCGCATGCGCGGGAATTCTCCCTGCGGGAGGTTACATAATAAGTGGGAGAGTCTTAGCGCCCCATGAGAGCCGAAATATTCACACCAGAGGTGGAATGCAAGCCCTTCCTCCGTCACAAGGTCAGACAGATAACTCAGTCCGGCAGCACTGGTTCTCACGGTCTCCCTATTGCTGTTTACAGCAAGCGTGCAGAGCAGCGAGCAAACTATGAAGCATACACCGTAGCCCCAGGGTCAGAGAAGGAAGCATGCAAAACATGGCAGCTAGCTGACAGAAAGGGCAAGATCACTTCAGAGATGGCTCATTAATGGACTGTATTACTTTACTCAGAACCATTAGAAAAACGGATAATATCCCGTTTAGAATGGTAATGTGAAAGGGGCCAATGTCCCTGTGAATTCATTGGGAGTTTTTATAGTAAATGTGTTTCAGAGTGCAGCCCTGCTTATCAGAGACGTTGCATCCTATGCTTACTTTTCATGGAGTGTGCCCTGTTGTGCTCAGTGGAACTTGCTTTTCAGAAAATACAAGATTGGGTTCTACATCTCCTTGGGCTCAAAGGATCTTGCACACAAGGGTTTACAGTGTGGTGGTGGTGGTTGGACTAGGAGACCCAGGTTCAGATTCTGCTGTATGACCTTGGGCCAGTCACTCAGTGTAACCTACCTCACAGGGCTGTTGTGAGGATAAGACACAGGACCGCAGAACCACATATGCTGCCTTGAGCTCTGTGCAGGATAAAAATACAATAGATACTAGTGCAACACGTTTAATTTGCAAGACTTTTTCAGTTTTTATTGTTATTTTCTCAAGCCTATGAAAGAAATAATTAACGTTCTTGTTAGATGGGAGACTTAAACTTGGGGAACTGGCACAGATGCACAGTGCTTCCATAGCATGGGCCAAGCTTGAATCCAGTCTCAGGTACTGTCTGTACTAGTTAGTAACTGAGACTGCATCTTGAGGAAGTTGATTGGTTTAGAGCCCTTCATAGCCTGGATTAGGCTTAATTCAGAGTTTACTAATATATATCAAGCACTTGGCAGTGGAATCTTTGTCCTGCCTTTTGACCCAGAAAAGGATCCTTTCTTAATCACTTACCACATTCTCTCCAGTATCTCCTGCCAGTAATGGCAGGACACTTAAAATGTTTGATTCTTCTGCTTGTTCTGATTTCCCCAAATCTGAAGAAGTGAGCAGTGACTCATGAAAGCTCATACCCTGCCACAAATTTTGTTAGTCTTTAGGTTGCTAATGGACTCTTTGCTGCTACTGATAGACTAGCTCATCCTGATTCCCCCCGCCCTTTTGAACTGTAAATAAAAATGTTAGGCAATAGCTCATGTGATTTTTCTTTCTTGATTAAAATGTTTCCAGGCAGCTCTCAAAAGAAGAACTAGTGAATAAGCACTGGGTGTTTGCACAAGCATGTTAAGTTGAAATATTTTGAGTGCCCTACTCTTGGAATGCCACTTTCAAAGATTTGTTTGTGTGAGTGGAAAGGGAACTATGCTTACAATGCAATCCTAAAAACACTTCCCTGGGAATGAGCCCCGTTGAATAGACCTGAGTAACATTCTGAACAGACCTAATTAAGATGGCACTATTAGATATAGTGAACCTAGCAAAATGCATCTTAGATCATAGGAATGTGATTGACTCGGGTATGCAATGTGTAGCAGATGGTTGCCCATTTCAGAAGTCAGGAGAGAAATCAATGGTAGAGCTGGCTACAGAGTGAGTGAGTTGCAGACAGATTATGACCTTTTAGAGTAATGGGATCATTTCCCTCCCTTTGCACTCCAGTTGCTTGCTCAACTGCAGATCTACCCCCATATTACTCAGAGGAGTGGTGAAGGAACACTGGGAATCAATCCTCTTCCCCCCCCCCCCAATGCTAAATGGCACCATAAGTTCTACAACATTGTGCATTTGTGCTGGTGAGAGGGTTGCCTCTTAACTTATTTAAATTAATATTCATACTGCACTTCTGGAAAGTGAACACCCTGGGAAGAAAGGGGGAGAAAAATGACCCTCTGCCTACTGCAGTTCTGGAAAGTGAACACCCTGGGAAGAAAGGGAGAGAAAATGACTCTCTGCGTAATGCTAAAAACACACACAGAGCCAGTTTGGTGTAGTGGTTAAATGCGCGGACTCTAATCTGGGAGAACCGGGTTTGATTCCCCACTCTTCCACTTGCAGCTGCTGGGTGACCTTGGGCAAGCCATAGTTCCGTCAGAGGTGTCCTTGAATGAGCAGTTCTGTCAGAGCTTTCTCAGCCCCATCTACCTCACAGGGTGTCTGTTGTGGGGAGGGGAAGGGAAAGGCGTTTGTAAGCCACTCTGAGACAACGAGTGAAGGGCAGGGTATAAATCCATTCATCATCTCCTCCTCCTTCCTGTCTATGTAGTGTTGGGAATCTGACTCAGTTTGTAAAGGGATTAGTGGAATTAAAACGATGTTTGTGTAAACTGATTAGAAGGTCTCCTCTCTTGGGTTTTTCGGTATTAGTGGGTATCTTTACTTTGTCCCTAGATGTAGTCCCTTATCCTATTTCTGTTGTAGTTTGTAGTGTTTATAAAAATGTAATAATAAAAAAACTGCACTTCAATTGCTCAAAAAGAAAAGAAAAGAAAAGAAAGGATTCTCTATAGGCAGGGTGGAATTACACATTATCCTAAAGCGTGTATTCTATATATGGCAAAATAATATGAATGCAAAGTTAAGGGGCCCTTGTAAGGTGGTAGGAATGGTGGTTAACTTCTGGGGGGGGGGGGGTTTCTCCACACACCCCCATCTTTTCTCCATTTAGC